ATCCACTCACCTCAGCCTCCCAAAGGCACGGGATTACAGCCTGAGCCACCGAGCCCAGCTCGACAGGAGGATTTCTTGAGCCCAGGAGTTTGAGACCAGCCTGGGGAACATAGCAAGACCTCATCTCTACAAAAAAAATTTAAAATTATCCAGGTGTGGTGGTGCATACTTGTAACCCAGCTTCTCAGGAGGCTGGGGCAGAAGGATAGCCTGAGCCCAGGAGTTTGAGGCTGTGGTGAACCATGATCATTCTACTGCACTCCAACCTGGGCAGCAGAGTGAGATCCCGACTCAAAAAAAAAAAGAGAGAGAGAGAGAGAAAAGCTAAGCTCTTTGGACAAGAGATCATAGTGGCTTGGACTGTGGTGGTGGGATGTGACAGAGAGATGTGGTTGGATTCAAGGTATTTTGTAGGTAGAACAATTTATTGACCACCATTATCGAGTGGATTAAACATAAAAAATAGATTTTTGTACTTAAGGAACTTATAACCTAACACATTTGGCAGTAACTTAAATATCTGTGCCTCTTTTTTTTTTTTTTTAAAGCATTGTATTTATTTTTTGTGTGGATGTAGCTGGAGGCCATTATCCTAAGTGAATTCACTCAGGAACAGAATATCATATACTACATATTTTCACTTATAAATGAGAGCTAAACAATGAGTACACATGGACTTAAAGATGGAAACAGTAGACACTGGGGACTCCAAAAGGGGGAAGGAAAGGAGAAGGGTAAGGATCAAAAAATTACCTATTGTGTACTGTGTTCACTATTGGGTGATAGGTTCAATAGAAGCCCAAATATCAGCAATATTGCCGTATAACAAACCTGCACGTGTACCCTCTGAGTGTAAAATAATTTTAAAAACAAAAACCCCACAAATATTTGACTACCTATTCATAGTGTAGCTAGTATTATTCGAACCCAATTCTATTAAATTCCTTTTTCATTTTATTTTTTTGAGTTGGAGTCTCACTCTGTGACCCAGGCTGGAGTGCAGTGGCACACTCACAGCTACTGCAGCCTCGACCTGCTGGGCTCAGGTGATCCTTCCGCCTTAACCTTCCAAGTAGCTGGAACTACAGGTACGCACCACTACGCCCAACTAAATTTTTGATTCATTGTGGAGACAAGGTCTTGCCAGTTTACCCAGGCTGGTCTTGAACGCCCAGACTCAGGCAATCCTCTTGTCCCTGCCTCCCAAAGTGCTGGGAGTACAGATGTGAGCCACTGTACCTGGCCTAAATTCCTTTTATACTAAATAGCTGTATAGTTTATATGAAGGTTTTAACTTCATTTATTTTTGCCTTTTGTCCATTTCTGGTTTTTTTTTGAGTTGGAGTCTCACTCTGTCGCCCAGACTGGAGTGCAGTGGCCGCTCCTGGCCACCGCAGCCTCGACCTGCTGGGCTCCGGCGATCCTTCTGCCTCAGCCTTCCAAGTAGCCGGAATTACAGGTGTGCGCTACCACACCCGGCTGATTTTTTAATGTATTGTAGAGATGAGGTCTTGCTGCCCAGGCGAGTCTCGAACCTGCGGGCTCAGGCAATCCACTCACCTCAGCCTCCCAAAGGCGCGGGATTACAGGCCGAGCCACCTAGTCTGGCTGCCTTTTGTTCATTTCTTTCTGGTGCCACAAGGAAAAGCAATATGATTACAGTGTAGTCTCCATTTTGATTCTTCTACACAAAGAAATACCCTATTTCCTTTATTTTTATTTTAAAGATGTGGGGTACAATTCAGGATTTGGTATATAAATGGTCATTGTACAGGTAAAGTTTGGGCCTCGCTTTGGTCCCCACATCACCTGGTTTGAGATCAGATACCCTCCCTTATTGATGACATGCCACCCCCTTCCCTCTCCCTCCCCTAGCAGTTTCCTACTACTGCCAATCCTTTTCTTTTCTTTTATTTTTGAATTGGAGTCTCACTTTGTCACCCAGGCTGGAGTGCACTGGCACACTCACGGCCACCCCAGTGTCAACCTGCTGGGCTCTGGCGATCCTTCTGCCTCAGCCTTCCAAGTAGGTGGAACTATAGGCATGTACCACCATGCCTGGCTACCAATCCCTTTCTTACAGTATTATGAATATTGTTCAGGGTCTGCTTATGAGTGAGAACGTGTGTTACTCAGTTCTTTGTTTCTGTGATAGACCACTGAGTAATACAGACTCTAACTCCAAGTTGCTGCCAAGTTCATAATTTTGTTCTTTATGACTGCAAGTTTCTTTTTAATATGTGCTTAACGATAACATTGTTAGTTGCTGACTGTCTCAGCTTGAGCAAGAAAATATAGTTCATAAGGCAATAAAAGCAGTTCTTAATTTTTAAAAGGGGATTGAATTTAGGTGACCTATAATGTGTCTGAGTTTCTGAAGCAACTGAAGTTTGGTCTTTCAAAACAAGTTTACTTTGTTTTAGGTCAGTCTGAATGTGTGTGTGTTTGTATGTGTGTGTTGCCAAGTTGAAAACTGAAATTTGAGGCTGACCTTGAAAGATTTCATGATGCTCATGAGTTTCAAGCCAGGATCTTTGTTTTTGTTGTTGTTGTTTGAGTTGGAGCCCGGGTAATTTTTTTGATTTATTGTCGAGATGAGGTCTCGCCAAGTTGCCCAGGCGGGTCTCGAACCCGCGGGCTCAGGCAATCCACTCACCTCAGCCTCCCAAAGCGCTGGGATTGCAGGCTGAGCCACTGAGCCCGACTTAAGCCAGGATCTTAAGGTACACATAAACACATATTAGTTACAGAAAGGTAGGAAGACTTTTTTGTTTTCATTTTTATTGGAGTATAATTGACAAATAGAAGTTGTATATGTGTAAAGTGTGCAGCTTGATGTTTTATACATGTGCGTTGTGAAATGATCACCAAATCAAGCTAGTTAACATACTCATCATCTCACATAATTCCTTTTTTTATTTTTATGGTGAGAGCACTCAAGATCTACCCTTTTAGCAAATTTCAAGTATACAATATAGTATTGTTAACTACAGTCGCCATCCTATACATTAGAATTCCAGAATTTATTCATTTTTATAGCTGAAACTTTGTATCCTTTCACCAATATATTCCCATTTCCCACCACTGGTTAAGCCCTGGCAACAACCATTCTATTCTGTGCTTCTATGAGTTAGACTATTTTAGATTCCAAATATAAAGGAGATTATGCAGTGTTTTTTTTTTCTGCTGTGGCTGGCTTATTTTGCTTCATATAATATCCTCAAGGGAGGACATTTCTGATAGCAGGTAATAGGATTCACTTTTGATGTTTTAATGTATAATCCCTTTGTACTTTCGGAAAATAAAATGTTATGCTGGATATGTTAAGTCGGTATACATTCCTTTACTGACCTTTTTGTTCTGTGTATATCAGGTACTATCTGTTTTCCCTCATCATGAATTTGAGCCGTGATGCTTATGAAATTCGCCTACTGATGGAACAAGAATCTTCAGCTTGTATCCGGCGACTGAAAGGTTCTGGAGGAGGGGTCACAGGAGGAATTGAAACCGGGGGACTTGGAGGACCAGGGACTCCAGAAGGAGGTCTGCCCCAACTCGTTCTGAAGCTCCGCCTCCGAGTCCTTCTTCTGGCTCGAGTTCTTCGAGGTCATCCCCCTCTTCTACTGGATGTGGTCAGAAATGCCTGTGATCTTTTCATTCCACTGGACAAACTAGGCCTCTGGCGCTGTGGCCCTGGGATTGTGGGGCTTTGTGGGCTTGTGTCCTCCATCCTGTCTATTCTTACCCTAATCTGTCCCTGGCTACGACTTAAGCCCTAACTTTCTGATAGAGGATAATGAATTGGTGATATGGAATCTTAGTTTGTCCCCCATGTACCAGCCTCACTGTAATTCAGCTCCTTGATTAAAGTCAAAATTCAGAGGTTTAGGGATGGAGGGAGGAGTTTTGAGGAAGATGAGGTGAGGAAAGGTGACTTGTGACGGCAACTGAATGATTCTAATATGCCTGAGCTTTTGTTCTTTTCCTCTTTCGTTGTCTGTGTCTCTTTTGACTCTATTTAGTTTGTGTCTCTTAAGAATTCTTAAGATTTTGTGTCTATGCATCTCTCTCTCCTCTTTTTTTTAAAAAAACTTCTCAGTCTTCTTTCCAGGGGTTTACTCAGCAGAATGCCTTTTCCGTAGGGGAGGTATAAGGCTTGGTTGGTAAGTTCTAACTGCCTTCTTTTTTCTCACAGGGTGGCTTATGGCAGATTTTTCCTCTTTCAAACTCCAGATCCTAATGTTTAAGACTTTATGTCTCCGTGGATTCTTCCCTCATATCTCTGCACCACAGGTTGTTTGATGCTTCCTTTTCTCCCTCATGTCTATCTCACCAAACTTCCTCACGATTTGGCCCTTACCTCTCCCTGTACTCCTACCTTCAGGTTACACTTTGATTTCAGAGCTTTGTTCCCTAGCCTGTTCTTACCCCTTATTTGCCTATCCAGAATGATGCTGTGTGTAGCATCTTGCTGTAAATACTGTACAATGATTTTGTGTAAATAGACATGGCCCATGCCCATAACAGAGAGCAAGCCTTCCAGGTCAGCAAATTAAAGTTCAGTTTGCTTATCAACATTTGGTCTGGTCCCTCATTTCTTGGTCGTTTGAGACCCCTATTCCTGTCACTATGGCTTGCGTTTTTCATGAGATTAGCCACTAGCGTTATCACTCATATATTTTTATTGAGCACCTGCAGTATGTAGAGTGAAATACTAGATAATGGACATACAAAAAGTTAAGAAGCTCTATGGTCCCAGCTTTAAGGTGTTTATAGCCTAGTTAAGGAGTTGGGCTAGTTGGGGGGAGGGGTCTAATGCTAAAGTAATTATACTGACTCTATAAAACACACTCCACATAAGTTCACAGTTATAGTCCCCCTAAAAACCATAATGCCACAAGGCAACAGAGGCTAAGAGCCACAAACAACTAAGTGCAGTGGAACTGGCTTAGTTTTGAGGCTGTGTCTTCACATATTGTAACTCCCCTGGGTGGGTGGAGCTCTTTCATTTCTGTATTCTAGGTTGAAATAATTAAGGGTAGGAAGTAAAAATAATCTATCTCCCACTTCTATCTTCAGTTCCAAATCTGAGGAAAGCATTATTGACCTGGCAACAATGAAAGAGGAGAAAAAAAGCAGAAATAGTCAAAAATATGTTCTCTTTGCATGTTTAGATGAGGCCTCCAGGGGGCAGCACCAAGGCAGAGAAATAGACTAAGATCGTTCTGTCCTTTCTTTGGTCTGGGGCTCCCCACAGTTCCCCACCATCACTCCTCCCATTCCTTCCAACTTTATTTTTAGCTGCCAGTGGGAGGGGGCAGGATGGGAGGGAAAGTAAAGAAAACAGAAAAGGAGAGGAACAGATAGAGGCCAGAGGACATCTCATGCAGAACAGAGAACAACCAGGCATGGAGTTCCCCCTCATCTCTCACCTGTTTTTGCCCCTCGTGTTCCTGACAGGTGAGGGTGTTTAGCTTCTTGGTTTCTGGTGGGAATGGAAGATACATGTATTGTTTGGAATTGGGGCCATTAGAGTTAAAATTCTTTGGGATTTAGGGTAGGAAGCTAATGTAGAATTCTACGTTTTGTGTATGTAGGTGTGTGCATGTGTGCATTTTCCCCCCACATATGACTGCTTCAGTATTGAGACTGGCAGGGGTGGAAGCTTCCTAGAGCCTTGCATAAGATTTGTATGTAATTATAAAAAACTTTCCTAAGTGTAACCTTCCTGTAGTAGTAAGAAGACAAAAGAAACATGATGTGACCTTCCACGTGGCTAGTCTGATTCCTATTATGCCCCTCCCTGCTTCTCTCTACCCTTGGTGGTCTCTGGGGCCTGAGGCATAACTGACTATGTGGTCAGAACTCTGGGTTTATGTAACTAATGAGTGGCAGGCAGTTCCTGGTCATACAACCCTGCCAGTTTTCTGGATGCAAAAAGGTTCACATATGAAACACCTTTCTGAAAATAAGCATGGGATAAGTTTGGGATAAAGCTAACGCCATTAGTAATGGTAGTGATGGAGTAGCCTGAGGGGGCTGATTAGAAGAAAAGAGCAAGACACAGGGAGCGAGTCATGGGAGGGATAAGAAGCCTGGAATTTTTCCTTGTTAGTGCCCTATAATCTTTGTTTCCTAAAATACCAGCTCTGATTTTAAAGGGATTGGAGTTGAAAGGGATGAATCGGCTAGACATGACTGGGCATCTTTAGAGTGGGCTAAAGTTTGAGGAAACCATATAGGTAGGAGGGGGCAGTAGGGAGGATGGATGAGTTAAAAAAAAGCAGTTGAGGGAAACTTTGGGGTGATGGGACCCTTGGCAAGGATAGATGGCAAACTGTGTGTGGGCAGACGAGTGTTCCCACCCAGTTAATTACCACTGAGGTTTCCAGGGCCAGAATCAACCAGGGACCTAGACATTGGAGAAAGTGTGTGACAATGACACTGGGAGTCAAGAGACAGAAAAAGAAGGAGAGGCCCAGACACAGTGCTCCTTAGCTTCCTTTCATTCCCCTTATGGCTCTGGGTTTTGGGGAGAATTTGAGAGGAATTCTGGGGCTGCAGAAAGGCCCTCTCCTTCATAAGGGATGAGAATGTGTAGGAGGAATGATATGGAAAAGAGTAACTTGACCTTTCTAGACATGTCTGTGAATGAAATTTCAGGGATGGAAATGGAAATACAGCTGTGCCTCGGCATGGCAAAGGGCCACAGGTTAGACATCTGGACATCCTTGCTTGTGGCTCTGAGTACATGACATTGAGTGAGGCCAGGAGAGCTTATGAGTGCAAAAGCAGGCAGATAGACTGAGACCAAGACAACCCCTCATGGCTTCTCTCTGACTGTGCCTCTGATCATTCACTGACTGTGACCACTTCATACTAACCTTATGATCCTGGCCCCACAGGTCTCTGCTCCTCCTTTAACCTAGATGTACATCGCCCACGCCTATTCCCAGGGCCACCAGAGGCTGAATTTGGATACAGTGTGTTACAACATGTTGGGGGTGGACAGCGATGGTGAGGAGGAAACCAGAGGGCCATGAGATTGGGACTGTGATAGTGCTGATAAAGGGGGGGCAAGATAGATGGGACCCTAAATGAATCTGTTCTCTTGAAAGTGGCTGGGACAGCTGGGCATGGTGGCTCATGCCTGTAATCCCAGCACATTGGGAGGCCAAGGGGAGAGGGTTGCTTGAGCCCAGGAGTTTGAGACCAGCCTAGGCAACATAGTAAGACCTCATATCTTAAAAATAAATAAATAAGCCTGGCATTGTGGCATATACCTGTAGTCCCAGCTGCTCAGGAGGCTAAAGCAGGAGGATTGCCTGAGCCCAGGAGGTCGAGGCTGTGGTGAGCCATAATCATGCCACCGCACAACAGCCTGAGTGACAGAGTGAGATACCAACTCAAAAATAAAGTGACTCTCTAAACTTGCCTACATACCCTTTCCCTCTGGCCAATGTCAATCAATGGTTATGTTCACCTTATGCTTATATTCATATCCTCCTCCCAGGATGCTGGTGGGTGCCCCCTGGGATGGACCGTCAGGCGACCGAAGAGGGGATGTTTATCGCTGCCCTGTAGGGGGTCCCCACAGTGCTCCATGTGCCAAGGGCCACTTGGGTAAGAAGATGCCTGACCCTTCCCCTCTTAACCCCTAACCTTCATACCCTAGTAGCTTTGATCCCCTATAACCTCAGCTACTACATCCCCATAACCCATATATCCTCCATCTCTAATTTGATATTGAATTCCTTCTCATTCTTTTCCAAAATCACCCTGAACTCATATGATCTCATTGTCTTTCACCTCCTTCCAACTAGGTGACTATCAGCTGGGAAATTCATCTCATCCTCCTGTGAATATGCACCTGGGGATGTCTCTGTTAGAGACAGATGGCAATGGGGGATTCATGGTGAGCTAAGGAAAGGGCAGTGACAGGGTCTCTGAAGGTCTGTTGGCAGAGAAAAGAGCAGTGTGGTATGGGAAGCTGGGCTATGTGGGGAGGTCAAGGAATTAAAAACCCTAGAAAGCAAGGCGGAGAACCATAAGGAGTGGTCTAAATGCCTCCTTCAACTGGGAGCATGCCCTGAGGGTGCCCTCCCAAGTCTGAGAGTAACTGTTTCCCCCCATTCCCAGGCCTGTGCCCCTCTCTGGTCTCGTGCTTGTGGCAGCTCTGTCTTCAGCTCTGGGATATGCGCCCATGTGGATGCTTCATTCCGGCCCCAGGGAAGCCTGGCACCCACTGCTCAACGTGAGCCAAATGGAGGGCCTGAGGATTCAGTTCCCAGAAGGGAGTGCTGGGTGGGAAAAAGATGGGGCAAAAGAGTATGGTGGCTAGCAGAGAGCTTTCATTGCTATCGCCATTGCTACTTAATGGGCCTGCAAAAGTGTCTTGCTTCCTGACAGATTAGAATTCAGACTCCCTTTCCAGGGCATCAAGATCCCATGATCTGATCTAACCAACTTCAGAAACTCAGTGCAGGCTGGGCAAGGTGACTCAAGCCTATATTCCCAGCACTTTGGAAGGCCGAGGCGAGAGGATTGCCTGAGCCCGTGGGTTCGAGACTGGCCTAGGCAACATGGTGAGGCCTCGTCTCTACAAAATCAAAAAATTAGCTGGGTGTGGTAGCACGTACCTGTAGTTGTGGCTACTTGGAAGGCTGAGGTGGAAGGATCACCTGAGCTAGCAAATCGAAGCTGTGGGCTTGCCACTGCACTCTAGCCTGGGTGACAGAGTGAGACTCTAACTCAAAAAATATATATATAGAGAGAGGTGAGGTTTCGCCAAGTTGTTCAGGCTGGTGTTGAGCCAGTGGTCTCAGGCAATCCTCACACCTTGGCCTCCCAGAGTGCTGGGATTGCAGGCTTGAGCCATTGTGTCTGGCCAATTTCTTCTTGCATTTTAGTAAATTGTATCTATGCCTGTCTCCTTCTTTATTAAGTTCTACATTTACCCAGAGCCTGGTACAGCGCCTTCCTTGAATGTAAGATGTGCATTATACATGTTTGAACTGAACGTACCCTTCTGTGGCTTTCCCTTGTTGCCCCCAGCCCAGTATCCTTCTATCTCTTTGTTCCCCATCACCATATCCCTCCTCCTAGGCTGCCCCACATACATGGATGTTGTCATCGTCTTGGATGGCTCTAACAGCATCTACCCCTGGTCTGAAGTTCAGACTTTCCTACGAAGACTGGTAGGGAGACTATTTATTGACCCGGAGCAGATACAGGTAAGAGAAGGCAATATAAATCCAGTTCAGTGGCTTGCGCCAGCTACTCAGAAGGCTAAGCTGGGAGGATCACTTGAGGCTAGGAGTTTGGGACCAGCCTGAGCAATATAGTGAGACTGTCATCTCTAAAAAGAATGAAAACAAAAATTAACCAGACGTAGTAGCACGCACATGTAGTCCCGTTTACTCAAGAGGCTGTGGGTGGAGGATCTCTTGAGCTCTGTAGTTCAAGGCTACAGTGAGCTATAATCGTGCCGTTGCATCCCAGCCTGGGCAACAGAACGAGACTCTGTCTGACAGAGAGAGAGAGAGAGCGCGCAAGAGAGACAGAGCACAGGGAGC